ATATATATATATATATATATATATATATTCAGTATCAAAACATATATACACTAATATATTCAATGTATCTACGAATGATATTTCCAAAATTCTCTTATTTATTTTTAACTTTCAGAGTAAATGTATCTTAATTAATGAATATGCAAAGAAAATCATTGTTAGATTAGGTATTATTATTATTATTATTTTTTTAAAAAAAGATTATAGTTATATTGAGGAGGTTATTAAGGGTGTCAAAAGAATATGAATCAGTTAAATGTCTTAATAATTGTTTTATGATGTTCTCTTCTTATGGACAGGGAATATTGAAACATCCAGGAAACCATTAGTAGCATGGGAAAAATTGTGTTGGCCAAAAGCAAATGGAGGAATGAACTTTTTCTTGTTTTGTAATGTTTACTTGGTAAATAAAATTTTACTTATAAAAAAAAAAGAGAATATGAAAAAATAACAGAATCTAACTCTACAGAGCTGGTTTTTATCATATTTTCAATAAAATTGTGAACTTTTATTTAAGTTTATTAGGAAAATTACGCAACAAAGCAAATTTATACTATTTAATTACTCATCATAGCTATAGCTTGCTATAATTACCATTCGCAACTAACATTATACATTAATTACATGAGTTGATTTCGAGTTTGTATAATTAGTCATGTTTGTATATGTATAATTCGCCAGAATATACAAAAATATATGTATGATATACTATTATTTAACATATATACATATACAATTCACCTCTCTCCCACTCTCTGTCTTCTCTCGCTCGTCTCTATCTTCCCTATCCCAATCTCGCTCGCATCTATCCTCCCTCTCCCAATCTCGCTTGCCTTATTTACAAATGCATATGTACAATATACAATTATATACATATACAATTCACTTCTCTCCCACTCTCTGCCCTCTCTCGCTCGCCTCTCTCCTCTCTCTCCTACTCTTGCTCGCCTCTCTCCTACCTTTCCCAGTCTCGCTCACCTCTCACCTCCCTCTCCCGCTCTCGCTTGTCATATACACAAATACAAATGCATAATATACAATTATTTAACCGATATACGGATACAATTCACCTTTCTCCCACTCTTTTCCCCCTCTCTCGCCTCTCTCCTCCATATAACATGTAGCTACGAATTGTAATTATCAAACTATAGCTATGGAGAATAATTAGGCTATTTTTAAGTGGCTATACGTGAAAGTTCCCCTTTATAACCGTCCTAAATAATTGAGATTGTCTTTTTAATTTCAAAAATAATTCGAACCAAATAATCTTGGATGGATGCATATACATTTTTTTTTATTTTAAAAATATATCAAATTCAATATATGAATATCTTTTAGGCGGAATGGTCTGATGAACCCTTATACTTGTATCAGTTTGTATTTTGAATCCTTCTACTTACCTTTTTGTCATCTTGACCCCTAAACTAAATAATATATCATTCATTAGTTGAATGATATATTTGAATTTATAGTCCACTTTCATGTGCATCCACAAATATATTTGAATCGCAATCTCCACAGTTTGATCATGGATATTTGCAAAACCCTGCAACTAAAAGAAGATTCAGACGAGATGTTGAGCTTTGTCTCCATAGTCACACTTCAGCATTGCTTTTTAAGCACTTAATTCCCATTCGATAGTAGATTTCTCGTGTTGTTTCCTTAAATTCATCGTCTACAAAATGTTGTGTTTGACTAATCGAAGATATATAGCATCGCCTCTTTCAGAGCTTCTATACTAATGTTGAAATTCTTGCATGAAATGGGTACAAGTTCTCCAACTTAGGTCCCTATTGAATCTGCATTAATTTGTAAGTGTAGATTACTTATCGATCTGCAAATTGCTAAAACTTATATCTGTACTAGATTTAATGGCGATATATGTTTTAGAAACATATATAAAAAATATTGTTGTCAATTTTTTTGTACTCTCTCTATATATTTAGCAGTTATTGTCACTAATTAAATATCATTTTAATATATATCTATATATATATACGGGTGACTTACTTTTTAAAAAAAAATATTAATTTCGGAAAAAATGACACGTTCTTATATTTAAAATGACAACATTTCATGGGTTAGGAGGAGAATGCATTTTTTTTTTACTCATTTTTAAATTACACATAGATAAATAGATACGAGATTCACCGTCCAGTACTTTGTCCAGTCATCATTGGGCTTCTAATCTGATTTAACTCCGCTCTATTAATTATTTTCTCTGTTTCTTCAAATACACACTTAAATGAAAGTCATATGTTATAATTAAAAATTTATTTATTATTTTAAATTTCCACTTTTAATTTTTTAATTATGACACATAACAATGTATAGTTACAAAAATGAAGAGAATAAGTAATTGAGAAAATATTCTTAAATTTCCCACGTGGCCTATTTACAACATAAAAAAACAATTCTTTAAGTTTTAATATATACATATACTTTTTAGTCTCTCTTTCTTTTCCTACGTAATAATAGGTGTATTTTTTTTATTATTAAAATTATATTTTTTTAAGAAAAACTCATCAAAAATAAATCAAAAGAGACTTGTTTTGCTTTTGCTTTTATTGATTTCGGTAGATTTTTCATTATATAATCCATTTGACATGTAAAATCATCAGTACCCTACTTGTTGCTTTCATTTTTATTTTATTTTTTTTAAAAAAAAACAAATAAACTTCAAATTTATTGTGAGAATAATAATAAGAAGAATATTGATTTAATTAGATTACAAATATAGGACCACAACTAGATTGACTGAAATTAAAATGGTACTCCATGAATTCCCATTTTTTCTTCATTGCAGGAACCAGAGGAACATATGAATTTTGAAGAAATCAACACAAGATTTAGAGGAGAAGAATTACAGAAAGAATAATGGAAATGTGGGACCCACGTTGTTAAGGGAAAGTGATTAATTAGTATGTTAAGTTTTGAAAAATTAATTTTTAAAATTAGGTTTTACAATAACAATCCATTAATTAATAAGAGTATTATAATAATTTTTTTTTAATCGTAATCATATTTTTAAAAACACGTGTAAAGTTTAACATAAATGAATAAACTTTAGGATTTTTTCTTTAGGATTTTAAAGAGTTTGTTTGTGGGTAAATCGGGTGGGTACTTGGGTTATGGGCGGGTTTTAAAAAATTGGATAAAAAATTGGTCAATCGGGTTGTGACATAAAATTGCGACACGTGTACACGATTAGTGCTCCATTAGTGGGAGGGGTAAATGTGTACTGATTATTGGACGGCAAGAGTTTTGATGAACCGAAAGTACGACGAAGGGTATTGACATACCATTTTTGAAGTTCGGGAATATATTTGTCCCTTTTTCCTAAAAATAAAAGTATAATAATACAATGAATGACCTATTATCGACAAACAACGTTTCCTTTCAACAACGTCAAACGAGAAGTGGAGTCTTCACGTCAACATACAACGTCAAATTCAATGATCAGACATCAGATTTCACAGCAAAGCAACAACTCTATTGTCGTGTCTCTCTGCGCTCGTACGTTCCAGTAGAAAGTGGCCGCATTTTTGTCCTTGCTAGGCACGGATTGCACCACGTCGAGCTTCAAGGACGACAAATCGATCAAAGACGCTCACGTCTTGTAAATCTGAATTTTCGTAAAAACTTTTGAATATAGAATTTCGATTTTTGCCACAAATTCTTATTCGAACCTCCCCTTTCCCCCAAAAATCGAACTTTATAATTTCCCCTATAAATCCCCTCCTCTTCTCCATTGTAGGGATTGGAGTTTTTCTTGAACAATCAATTTTGAAACTTATGAAATTCGAATACAATTTTCTAGTCCTAAGTTCTAAAAGGGTTTTAATTTAAAGTCTATTCGAATATTCTAATTTATTGCTTGAGTTTTGAAATCGTACTTTGTGTGAAATCACTGCTCCCCAATTCGTTGTTGCCCCTGCTTCGCTGCTCTCCAACAGGTGAAATCTTTCTCCGAGTCCTCACGACTTCATCCTCCTCCTTTGCATTTCAAGAGAGCCCTAAAGACTTAAAAATCGAATAACAGGTCCACAAAAGATTAGTGGATGGAGTTGGAGCTGATACACAACTATACAGCAATATACACTTTGTGTGTGTGTTGTATATATGCAAATTTGGGCCCAAAGGCCCACTCTTTTATTTTTTATTTTTTTTGGTAACAACTGTAAAAGATCCACTCCTTTATTTTCAAGCTGTATTTTGTTAGTTCTGTGGCTATGCCCTTAAATTTGCAATTATTATTAATATTTATTCCCAGAGATTCAAATAGTATTTAATTCAAAGACTGTAGAGACCAATTTTGTTAAAGCGCTTATTCTAAAGATAAACCCTAAACCCTAATCAACACCTTTCATCTTCAATATCTTTTCAATGGAGCATAATCAGCAGCATAACAAACGGAATCAGCCGGAGGATATGGCAACGACGACGGCGACGGCGACCCAGAAGAGAAAACGAAAAGAAGTTGCTGTCTTTGGCAACTACAGAAACTACTATGGCTATAGAGTAAGCTTTTCCCTGTTTTCTCATTAATTGTTGGATTTATAGGTGCTAATGGATCATTTTCGCATCTAATATAAGGGAAATGAGTGTGTATTGGGTTTTGGATAGAGGTACCCTGTATATGATAATAGGCAGACTACCCTTAGGTCGCCGGTTGAGGGGTCACGGCCAACCTCGGAAAAATGTATGTAGGATGTGGTTGATTTAGTGGGGCTCACCTATCTTTAGCATTTTCCTGAAGTGCTAATTATTTGATATGTAGTAGTTACAACAGTTCTTTTTTTTTTGGACTGTTCTTTTTTCGTTTTAGTTTTAAGGGAGTTTCACTCTAAACTTTGTAGAAGTAAGTAATTGACTTGTGTATCAGTGTCTCTTGTTTGAAGAAAAAGAATTAACCTCTATATATTAAAGATGATAGTGGTGTGGCACGTTCAATTCCTGGGTTCGCCTCTGCAGGGTTGGAATAGTTAAGGTGGTTATAACTATTAGGTAATGGTTGATATGATTATGACTCATGACTGTAGGGAAGGGAGCTTCACTTGAACAGAGGGTCTTTCGGAAACAACCTATTTGCTTCCACGAGGTAGTAGTAAGGTCTGCGTACATTCTACCCTCCCCAGACCACACTTGTGGGATTTCATTGGATATTTTGTTGTTGATTATAGGCAGGAAGAATGCACTCGTGATTTTGTGTACTGAAAGTAGAGTAAGGTATATAGGATTCAAGCAAGGTAATAATACTTGGGGCTGATGAAGAGAGAAAGCTGAAACTATCAATAAGGAGCTTAATTCTAAAGAGAAGATAATACTTTATTCAAAGAAAAGTTAGTTTTTCTCCTCTTTTACCAACTGACCCTCTCTTTACCAGAAGGATTGAAGTTCTTCTGCAGTATCTAGTGTCTCTTACAAGTGAAGAATGAGAAGGTTAAAGTCAATTAGGGGCAAAACTGTTTTACAAAAAAATTGAACAATAATTAAAGTTACATTGGGTATGTTGTTGTACGTAGGAGCAGGGGGAAGGGGATGTTATCTACGGGATTAGAATCCTCAAATTACAAGGTGAAGGTGAGTTTGCTCACCAAGCGAGTTGATCTTCATGAGAAAGTTTGCATGCTTTGCATAGATGTTGTACTGCTCTCCAAATCCTTGTATGAGTAGAGTTAGCCGGTTTTTAGACTCCAAATCTCTATTTCAATAGCCTAACAATCCCATTTATAATGTTTTGAATTTTGTTGTATAACTGTTATGGTCTTTTTGATCCAATTATTCTGTTACTCGGGATATTCGATTGCGTTACCTTTAGTTAGAATATTCATATCAGCAGTGTAAACAATTAATCACAGTTTATATAAACTGAAATAATGAATCAAGTTTCCCTCACACAGTAAATTTTTGGTGGTGGGAGACTGAAGATCGTATCTATTTTCTTGTTCACTTCCTACATATTATTTCACTGGCTATGTTGTTGTTGTTGTTCCCACATATTATTATCTGGAAGAACATCTTTAAGAATTGTATGGATTATTAATGGAAAGGATGTTTTCTCCAGCAAAATTTTGGTTTCTATAGCCTCCCGTGTTCTCAAAATCTTACTGCTCCCAAGTTGAAACACTCTTGGGAGCTGGGCAGTTCAGAATTTCATTTTGTTTTTTCCCCCTTTAGATGGACTCACTGTTTGGTATCTTTGTGCACAGATAGGTCAGAATTTGGAGGAAGATCCAAGATTAAAAGCTATGAAGAAGGAGTGGTTTGAAGGCAAGGATTGTCTTGACATTGGCTGTAACAGTGGAGTGATCACAATCGCTATCGGTACAACTTTTTGTTAATTGCATAGCTGATTAATTCGGATATCTGTTTTAAATGGGATTCTGAATTAGGATTTCACCTTATTTTTACTCGCATGCGGGACTTCTGCTTTGATAATCCCTGAAACATTGCCCACCTATAGATATTATGCATTTCCCTTTTCTTATCTTTTGTTAATATCAGTTACTTTCTTCATTCCAGCACAAAAGTTTAACTGCCGAAGCATCCTTGGAGTCGATATTGATGATGGTAAGTATTTGAACTTTTCATTCATATATATGTGTTTCACATTAGTTGATTCTGGCATGAAGAATTGAGGAACTGATTATGATGCTATAAATTCTAATGCAACTTGTGATCTGCATAAAATTCATGGAGAAGTCATGTTAGAAACTAATAATAAAAAAAAGCAACTGTTATTTGGTTTGAACACAGTGCATTTTGTTGATTTTTTCCTGTAAAATTGGCTGGATCAAACAACTGTTTTTTCCAGGATAACAATGTGTGGTTGGATTATGTCATACTGTTTGGCATAAACTTAGTCTATTGATCTCTTTTTGCTACTTATTGTCATAGTTGCTGATAATTTCATATTCTGTTATCCAAGTAATCATCTTTAAGTAATACATGACGATGGATCTATCATTTGACCAAGAGTTGCTAGAATGTAGTTTATAACTTTGATTATCTCTTCTCACCTTCCAGCAAGAATCCAGGATGCCTATTGGACTCTCAGGAAAGCAGTGAGGAGTACTGGAGCTGTCCCGGCGGGGGTTGCCAAGTCGACTGAGTCAAAGAATGTTACTGGTATTGAAAGCCATGAGGCTGAGTCACCTAAGAAGCCTGCAAACATTGATTGTACAGAATCTCATCATGTGCAAGAGGCAAATTTGTTTGACATAGTCTCTTTCAGGAAGGGAAATTTTGTTCAGAATTGGCATCTTGTGGAAAATACATCTTATGATACGATTATTTGGTAAGTTCTCTTTTCTTGAGTGTCATCTTATTTGTATGGTTCCAGATATATGAAGAAATCCTTCTTGTTCATTGCTATCCTTTTATGAAAATTGTAACTAAGATATGATATGGTTAGAAATTGTGATTCCTCACCAAAATCACCCAACATAAGCTAACAGTTCACCTCTCCTTTTAGTGATATACGCCAGTCATCTGAGTAGAAACGATAATACAAGAAAGGTGCATGGCTCTCAATCTTTGGCTTTCCCGAAATTGAGCGCATGAATTAACTCTAGAGGTTACTTACAGAGAAGATTAGACCTGGTTTTCTGCTTTTCTGTGTTGCATGAGTCATATAATCTTAAGCAATGCAATACTTATGTAGTATGTTTCCCTTTACTATTGTGAATTTCTGTAGTATTAGGTGCTAGAAGATTTTGTTTTAATTCTATATGTATGTGTGCATGATCAATTGAATTTCTGTTGATGCAGTTTAAGTGTGTCAAAATGGGTGCAATTAAACTGGGGTGATGAGGGACTTATAACTTTATTTTCAAAAGTCTGGAGGCTTCTTTCACCGGTAAATATGTTACGTATATATGAGAAGCATCTTTTTGGTTCTGGAAATAATTTGCTGAGCAAGACTTTTTGACTGTATTTTTTTGTAACAGGGTGGTGTCTTTATTTTGGAGCCTCAGCCTTGGAGTTCATACTACAGTAATCGTCTTGTATCTGAGGTATTCCCTTTCGTATTGTTGCTAGAGTCAGATACATTTTTTTTAACTTATAAGTTGTACAGCCAATACCATATTTTGGGTCCTTTCCTTAAAGCTCGAGCGTGTGGACAATTTTTCTTTGGAGCATATTAATGTTTTCCTTGTTATGCAGACAACAAGAATTAATTATCAAGAAATTAAGATTCGTCCAGAAGATTTTCAAGATATACTTTTGGACAAGGTATGATCGCAGAGAATCTTTAGCTTATGAAACTTGGAAGGATAAATATTTTATGATGCTGTTAGGTATGACTAACGCGTCAATTTTTAAATTTGAATGTAGATTGGATTTAGAATGGTAGAGGACATAACATCCAGTGCGTCTGGTCGCAAACCTGGGTTTAATAGACCAATTTTTGCATTCTGGAAGTGATGCATTAAGGCTATGAAAGTGCTTTATATATACATATATATATACACGGAGGATATGATGTACGCAGATCTTACCCTCTACTTTTTTGGGGTGTAGAGATGGTTTCCGCAAGATCATCAGCTCTAAAGGGATGTTATCGAAGCAAGATACCGAGCTCTTGAATTTATTCCAAATCTTTCATGTACTGCGGGTGATGATTTATTTCATCTCACTTGTAATTGGATGTATATGTACATTTGGTCTAACTGATAATTAACCATGCCATGGTTTAATCAAAATTTTGAAACAACAGGTCATCAAATACAGGTAGTTGTAGAAGCTTATGAATGTTCTAAGCATATAAAAATACTATTCCAGGAAAAAAAAAGAAAAGAACACTAAATATTTTTGGCATTTTTTGAGTTTGATACTTCTATAACAGAGGTCTGAAGTTTGAATCCTTGCTAGTGTAGGCAAATGGTTTGTCTTCTTGATTGAGCTCATTGTACAAGGCTTATCTGTGTTGGATTATTTCTTCTATATGATTTGTAAGATTTATTAGAGTGGAAATTTTACCTTGTGCACATTAATCAAAGAATAGTAACTGTGAATTTTCCTCGTCATAATTTCTATTTTTAAAACATCCTAAATATTTTTCGTGTTTTATCCAAACTCCACATGCGCAAAAAAAAAAAGAAAAAAAGAGAACAACTTTACATAGTTTTGATGTGGAAGACCAATTATAAAAAGAGTAAATTTTAGGTTTAGCAAATATTATATTTGTATGCTACAACTATAGTTTGTATAATTGTGATTTATAGCAAATTTTATGTTTTTTATAGTGTAGCAAATTTAAATAAATCACTGACAGTCTCTCATTTGTATAAGTCGCTGAAAGATCAAATACGTATAAATGTTCACATTACCCAAAGTATCATATTTATGTTATCTTTTAAATCACAATTAGCATTTCAATCAAAATTGTGTCACACACAACAAATTAATTTCCTCCAAAAGATAAGAGATGGTTATATTCTTTTGCACAACTTCCTTTGTCGCCCAATTTTGTGTGTTGATGTTGAGTGATGCAGGAAGTATAAATATATATACATGAATTTCATTGATTTCTTTTCATATTTATTTCTTTTGTATTATGAATTAGCTTAGCAAAAAGATTGATTTTCTTCACTAAAATATTATATTTTTCCTATCTCAATTTCAAGTGTCTAGGACCTATTTGGCCATAGATATTGCAAGCAATTTTTTTTGAACTTGACTATTTGTTTGCCCATGAAATTTGTTAAGTTTTTTTTTTTTTTGTGGCAAACTCAAAATCCAAAAATCTAAGAAAATGTACTTTTTTTGCTCAAAATGGTTTAGTTCTCCAAACAAACTTTGGAATTCTCGCAAATCAAATCGAAGTACTTTTTGTTAAAAAAACATATGTATATCACAAAATAATTACACAAATTCTTTACCTCGAAAGGAAAAATCAAAGACTAACATAATAAAACAAAAACAAATTTCAATTTAAACATATAGATTTCTATATTTTTTGATCCTCTATTTTCTTTTAATATATATGTTATTTCAGAAGCACACAAACAAATAAGTTAAAAGGAAGATTATTTGTGTGGCTAGGTTTGGTTCCCAATGGTCTACCACCCAAAGAGACATGTTACATCAAAAACACATCAAGGTATTATTTGGTTCACTCAACTAGCTATAATACTTTACTACAGAATATATAGGAATTGTTTATGTGGTGAAAAATTATCACCCAAAATTTTATGTTGATTCCTCAAATCATTTTTTTACTTGTTGGTAAAATTATCTACAAAATTATTTTGTTAGATAATGCTTAGTAATTCGTGGTAATTTGTTAAATAAACTATAGTCTACTTTTTTCTATTATATTTACCAATCAATATGTACTCCATTGTTAATATAACCAACGAAAGGTGTTCATTAGTATAATATTTTCGTCGATAGTTGCTAAATTAGGCGACATAAATAGTCGATGTTTTTCAATATATAAATGTAAACATCAACCTCCGGACTCTATTCTTATATTTGATCGAGCTATACTATTTTTTATCCTATTTTTTCCCCAACATATATTATTTACCGACTACTTTATTTATTTAGTAAATTTTTAGTAGGAATCCATTGCTAAATTCTGAAATATGCTAGTAATTTGTTTTTGTTACTAATATAAAATACTAACGAATTTGGATTGTTGGAATGATTGTCATTTTCATATATATGAAAAATTCTAGCAAATCATTCTTACTTTTTCGCTTTATTTTTTTTATTTGATATTTAATATCTTTAGCCTTCAATAATCTGAATTCATTGAGTAAGATTCATTAAATTGAGAAGCATTTTTCTATTTTTACTTCTTTTTTTTTAATATCGAAGGCTTAAACTCGTAGTTAAAGATAGATTTATATTTTTCTCATCACAATAATAGTTACGTTGATACTTTTCACTCCATCTCAATCCATGAGAAATAATATCACAATCATGTGAGTTTGAGAAAGAAAAAAACTGATTCAAACTTCAAGTATCACAATACATCACATATGTAAACAAAAGCTAGTTCAACAAAAGGGTAATATTTTTTAACAAAAGGCAGCAAAATTGTTATTGAATACTCTCTATATACACAATAAAATATACTTGAATTTGAAGATACAAAAACTTAAAAGATCATATTGTCTATTCACAAAATCTCCTCTACATTATATATAATCTTGAAAGTTAGTCTTGGGTTCATATATCATAAAATAGGATTAACCAAGACCAACTAGAATGTTGTACACTAAACATACATACATAACATATATAGTAGCACATTAAAATATTTCAAGTAACAATGTTCAGCTCTTTATCGCTTGTTTATTTTAGCAAATGACACATGCATTAGGATTCTCTTCAATGCTATGATGGACTTGGTAATATGTGTGCATAGGAGGAGGATGATAATAAGGTCTATATGGCATTACCATACCTATTGGTACCATTGGCTTCTTCTCTTCTTCTTCCTTTTTTGTTTCTTCTTTCTTGTCTTCTTTTTCTCCTCCTTTTTTAGGCTCTTCTTTCTTTGTTTCTTCTTCTTTCTTTGGTTCCTCTTTTGGTCCCACTAACATCATTTCTACTGCCCAAAACTTGCGCAATTTGCTCACTACACTCACCGGATCAACCGTCCCTATTATCATTAACGTCTTACCTTTCATATCTATCGTAATTTCATCTATCCCTGTAAAATCTCGAGAGTGTCAACTTCATTATACAACAAAGACAGATTCAAAATATAAACTATTCAATAAGGTTCGTATCATTAAAGTTTCTAAAATGACCTTATCATATAATAGAAGTATTTATTTAGTGAATTTTTGCATACAAATTTATAAAGAGCTACATTTGTAACAACATTTTCATTTGTTTTATTGCAAATTAGATACTATTTCGATGAGGCCTTAACAATACTAAGAAATTACTATATAACACCATTAATTAAATTAATTTAATAAAATGTACTTTTAATTAAATTTTTCTTTAAAAATATGTGAAATTAATAAAGGTCAAGTAATACGAGGGTATATTAGGGCAAAATGAGTTGCTGACGTGTAGTTGTAATTATAGAGGACCCATTTGACGTGGCATTGATCAAGAATTGACGTGTACACGTTATTTGCTATTTTCTCGTTTTAATTTATTTGACATATTTAGATTTAATACAAAATATAAGAAAGTAAAATAGTTTGAATCTTGTGGTTTCAAATTAAAAACATATGAAGTGTACTTTAATATTGTTAAATTTTGTGATCTTAAATATGTTATATGAAAAAGTTGAAATGAACGAATTGTTAAAAAACACTCTTTTATAATATGCTTTAAAAAAGTATGACAATAAAACTGAAACCGACGAAATATTATTTTTTTTCCTTCTCTCCTCCCATGTAAAACAAAAACATATCAATGAATTCAAACATAGTTGCCATATTAAATTAACATTTCCACATCAAAGTATCCAAATAATATTCACCACTCGATTTTCTCCCAACACTAATAATGTAGTACTACGATAGGATAGTGTAACGAAGCTTTCATATTATTTGTACATTTTAACTTGTAATAGAAAATTAATTAATTTCTCAGTTTTAATTTATTTATCATAATTACTATTTACAAGGTGAAATATTGTATTACAAAAATATTAAAAATTTAATATTCACACATTTTATATTTCGAATCAAGCCAATCAAATTGAAATCGGAAAAGTACTTATTACCTGGAAGAGCAGCCACTATCTTCAAGGCCTTCCTTTTTTCTCTGTCATCTCCCAAATCCAATTTCAGGATAAATTTCTACACAAATCAAAGACAAAGAGAAATCATAGCTTAGAAGATTAAAAATTCACTAGTTAAAATAACAAATTTTTTTAATTAAGTTACTAAAATTTTCATACTAATTCTATGTAGTTGGATTAACAACTAATGATATATATTAATTCAATTAGTTTGAGAACATTTTAGTGATAAATTAGCTAGATAAAGATAATCGATAAATTTCATAATCGAGTGTAGGTTTTTTAGTAGTGATCCAAAGGATCTAGGAAAGAAATGTTAAAGGTACAGATTCAGTAAACTCAGTAATTTTTGCTCCTATCCCCAAAGTAGAAAAAGTAAAACACATGTGCGATCGGGGCAAAGCCATACCTAAGTTACCGATTTCAGTGAATTCAATAACTTTAATTTAAATTTTATATTTGTAATTAAAAAAAAATATGTGACATATAAATAGAACATCGTAAATAAAAATTGATAATTTAAAATTCATAAACTAAAAATACTGACTTGATCAAACCGATGTATAAGGATGTACAAAAGAAGAAAAGAAATGAAACAAGATGAATTGAAGAATATCATACCTTCATATTATTTTTTTTTGTACAATAAGAGTGAATGGAATAAGAAGAAACAACAACTAACAAAAAGTGGAAAATATAATGGCAAAGTAGTAGGGGATGAGAAAGAGACAGAATTTTGTACAATTTTTATAATATATGTTTTTTAGTGACGAGTGGAAATAAAAAGACATTGTACTTTTGAAGTTGTATTTCTATTGTAAGAGGCTTTTATTTCTAGCCAAGCAAGTCTTCTGCCTAATTGCTAATGCATCGTGGCATACAACAGGACCCCCACCCCACTCCAATTGATCAGTATTTTCTCTGTCTCAATTTATATATCATTATTCGAATTTTGGATACAAAATAATCAATATAGAAAGATAAGAAATTTTGATAAAAGAGATGACGATTTAAAAGTAATAGTTGTGTTTAGGGGTGTACATGACTGAGTTGGTTTAAATTTTTCAAATATCAAATCAAATATTTGTGTCGGATTT